TTAGCTCACTACAAGACGGGGTTCGCCACGCCTCCGTTTGGGTGATGATGTAATCATCATGTGTGGTGATGTAATCACCATGTGGCTGATACGGAACAGAGGTTAGCCAGGCCTCCACTCAGGTGATTTGAAGTGAATCACCAACTCCATACAGTAGTGTTTGTACCATTGCACACCGGGGCATGCCCCTTTAACGTGCGTGCTCTCCCCAAACACAGGACCTCCATTTAACGTCCTATCCGAGGGACGTCCCTAGCCGAAGCTAGGTACTCATTTCCACTTGAGTTAATTGAGGAAAGTCGTGCTAAGTGCCTTTCCCAAGGGCACAAGATCGGTGACAAGTTGGGGTTTGAACCCACGACCTCGGGGTGTGAGCCGAACACACTACCGATTGCGCCACACGATCCCACATATAATGACACCCCAAATTCTTACTTATTCATCGACAGGTTTCTTACCTGTAAACAGTAGAAAGGATCAAAATTTAAAAAAAACATAGAGATTGAAAAGTCATAACATTTTTCATATTGCACTTAGTAGAGTATTGATACAAATGGCTCATTTAGTTGTGTACGTAATACTACGTAACAAGTTGTTCCTGATATCTCAGACACTAGAGTAAATGTGTTAAGATTGTTTATTTCTCTGAAGAAACCATTTGATACATTGATCAACATGATGACTAAAGAGTCCTTTTTGTGCATACATTAACACATCTTTCTCTCTTTGCCAGCCTCCCAACATGATGACCAACAGACCTCGAGGCAACGTCAAGTCTACAACCCCTTCCATAGAAAGTAGGAACTCCATACTATTTGACTGGTGCCACCATTATTTAATCTTTATGGACATTTGCACTTTTACAAGACGATTTCAATAGTTTTTTTGGATTTGTTAGAGAATATCTCAGCTTTTCTGTTTTACATTATGATCCACTGTGTCCATACAGATATGACTATTCACCAACTTGCAGCTCAAGGGGAGGTGGCCCTACTCAGTATCAGGCATGATGAGGGTCAGTGTCGTTAATAGAGTACAGTATATATAATTTTGATTTGCTTTCTGGCTGTATTCTTTACTGTGGTGTTACATGTTTGTCCTTCCACATTCTGTGCTGAATAGCAACTGCTGGCAAATCAATCATTGCCTACAATTCTCCCTTCCACCACAAACCATGGGATTTTCTTTATATACTAGTATGATTGACTTGATTATATACCTATGTTATACCTTATTAGTTTCTTCTTTCCGACAATATAAGTAATTTTTGTGTCAAAGATGTAGATGATGATAATAATAATGATAGCTATAATAACTCCATGTGCATAATTTTTGACTGGAAAATTCCTTTCCCCTAAAATTGTCACACAATCTGTACCCTCATGGTGCTTTAACTTCTGTTTGTTGTATTACCTGGGCATTGTATGGGTACCCCAAACCAAAGAGGTTATAACCTTCTTGCCTAAACCAACTATGGTCTGCCTATTATAGGACCTAGTATACTACATGTATCGTAATACATGTACATGTAATGTTAGTTGACATTGTTGACTAGATGAATGAATAACATAGTTGATAGCCAAGTAGTGCCCACACACAAGCAATCGCTGTTTTTGTTTACTCATATAGATGCAAATTATTTGAAGACATATGCAAACTATCAGTGGGCATATCAACCAACCGTCACCTTGTTTTGCCTACCATGATGTCATGGCAATCGCTCGTATAGGTCCAGGCTATGAAGTTAAACCATACTTGACTCAAGAGTCAAAACTTACCAAACAGTCTCCTTCCATTTCTAGGCTATGACATGAATGAAGTGGATGAGAATGGATTGACGTCACTAATGTGGGCGTCATCCCATGGGCAAGTGGGTGTGACTGTGTTCCTGCTGGAGAATGGGGGCAGTGTGCATGGAGCCACCAGGGAGGGGGAGACTGCCCTGTCCTTTGCCTGTTGTAAAGGACATGTGGAGATTGTGCAGGCACTGCTGAAGGCTGGAGCTAATGTCAATGCCTTCGACTGGGTGAGAATGATGCAGTCAATTCTTCACTTCTGTAAATCAAATGAGTTGCTCCTTCAAGACATACTAGTAACCACCCATGTCATGATTAGATGGAAAAACAAGACGAACTCAACTCTCGAATAAACAGGTAATGTCGGGCTGTGTAGAACTGATTGATACATCACCTTTCAAACTGTAGTATCATCAACCTCCGTTACACCTCATTCATCAGTATATCCACTGAACTGAAAAGTGAAGAAATCATCCCTTGCTTAAAATACCGGTAGGAACATTTTATATATTCAGGGGTACATACAGACTGCCCCTACAGCCTCACACTCACTCAGTTACATTTTTTGTAAGTAGCCTGTGGCTACGTAACTGAGAGAGTAAAAGGTGGGGAATGTTATGTGTTTTTTTTTCAAAGTGGCAGATATATGTAACAAAACAAACTCTAATGTGCCTTAAATGATACCAGATGGCAGAGTTGTTTTGCTGATACTGCCTGAATTGTGACAAATATGTTGTGTGTCTAAATGCTAGTCTGTCAAGATGGGGCCTGGCAGCCCGCCCAAAGTTTGATGAAAGGAAACAGAAACTTCCTTCTTGGCTACATACTTGCCAAACTCTAAATAGCTTACAGATGAAAATTCCTTTCCTTTAAATGATATTGCCTAGAAGGGCCCTGAGTAAGATTGACAACCTATTGTGGAGCTGAAGAGCCAAGTTCAAGCACATTAATTGGCTGACATGTTGTTTCTTTCTCAACCGGATATTAAAACTGGCACTTCTATGAACCACTGTCAGTAAGTGTGTTAATAAATTACACCTGAAGAATCAGTGGTAAAATTTACCAATTTTCTTAATCATCCCCATGAGATAATGTTTTCTGTCCTGGTTTAAGTACATGTAACTCAGACCCTTTCATGTTTCAGAATGGAGGAACCCCTCTACTGTATGCCATCCATGCAAATCACCCAAAGTGTGTACAGCTCCTACTGTGTAAGTTAACCAGTGTATACTATAAATCCTCTTATGTTTGCTTGGTTATCTAAAACCAATT